TTTCACAAATGTTTGTAGAAGAAGTCTTCAAGTCTAGGTGTTTGATTATATACACCTGTGGCCATGGAGGTGATTGGAACTCCTGAATCCAATGATTTGGATGGGTGCACCAATACTTTTGGCAATATAGTGTATATCAGATGGTAAATCTTGAGTAATGGTTCCTATATGCTACAGTAATGGCACTCAACAAAATGGAAGCTCTGAAACTTCTGGTACTCGGACCAGCTATTCTACTAGTCAACCTATGTGGGCTCCTAGAGACTGCTGGATGTCCATGGGGTCCAGTTACAAACTTCATGCTCCTGCAGTAACCAAATAATAGAAAATTGGTCAAAGCTGTGCACCTGCCTTTCATTTTACAATGGTGGATGCAATTGCTGTCCAATAAAAAAGCACAAAGGGCCACATCTCTGTGCCTAATGTAATCTTTGTTATTATGATCTATTTAAGGGGTGAGAGGACAACACTGCTACCTTGCCTAAGGCCACATCCTGCCTTAATCTATCTCTGACCTGTAAAATTCATGTGATTTCATTAGGGAAAACGACCTTTACAGTCAACATCAACTAAAGTTTACTGCAGAACAACTGAATGAGTGAAGCCAATTGAGTGAGACGTTATTTAGACAACTGCCTTAATAAGCCTATTCATCTGGAAACTAATAATAATGAGGTTTTGGAGTTGGATCCCCAAAGAAGACATACATTTATCTTATATAATGTATACATTTTTAATTATCATCATCATTAATGATAACATGATTGGGGTAAAGGGGTTTCTATTTAAAGTAAAGCAAATTAGGCCCAATAAACTAGGCCCAATAAAAACTAAGGTCATAGTTACATAGTTAGTCTGGCTGAAAAAAGACAAAAGTCCATCCAGTTCAACCATTTAAAAAAAAGATATAATCCTACACCCACAGCAAAGCATGAACCAATTTGCTCCTGCAAGGGAAAAAAATTCCTTCCTGATCCACCGAGAGGCAATCAGATGTTCTCTGGATCAACTTTACCTATAAATGTTAGTAACCAGTTATATTCTATGTATCCAATAAAGAATCCAGGCCTTTTTTAAAGCAACCCACTGAGCTGGCCAGAACCAACTCTTGAGGGAGTCTATTCCACATTTTCACAGCTCTTACTGTGAAGAAACCTTTCCGTGTTTGGAGATTACATTTCTTTAAAGAGTGCCCCCATGTCCTCTGTGATGACCTCAGGGTGAATAGCTCTACACCGAGTTCATTATATGAACCACTGATGTATTTATACGTTGATCGTATCCCCCCTTAATCCCCTCTTCGCAAGAGAGAATCAATTCAGTTTCTCTAATCTTTCCTCATAGCTGAGCTCCTCCATGCCTCTTACCAGTTTGGTTGCCCTTCTCTGTACTTTCTCCAGTTCCTCAATGTTCTTTTTGTGAATTGGTGCCCAAAACTGAACTGCATATTCCAGATGAGGTCTTACTAATGATTTGTACAGGGGTAAAATTATATCTCTCTCTCTCTGGAGTCTATACCTCTTTTAATACAAAAGAGGATTGTGCTTGCTTTAGAAACCTCAGCTTGGCATTGCATGCCATTATTAAGCTTGTGATCTACCAGAACCCCCAGATCCTTCTCCACTATTGATTCCCCCAATTGTACCCCCCCAGTATGTATGATGCAGGGGTGGACTGACCATTTGGAAACTCTGCCACTGCCCGAGGGCCTGGGGTCAGTAGGGGGCCCCATGAGATGCCCCTGGTACCTTTTTTCATAGGCTTTTTTGGGTTTGGGCAAGGACACAGGGACCCCATGATCCCCTATTGCCCGGGGGCCCCATGAGGCATGCATATTCTTACTCGCCTAGTGCATCACCTTACATTTATCAACATTAAACCTCATTTGCCACGTAGTTGCCCAATTAAACAATGCATTGAGGTCAGCTTGTAAGTTGAAGACATCCTGTAAGGACAATATTCCACTGCACATCATGGTGTCATCTGCAAAGACTGAAATGGTATTTTTAATCCCAGACCCTATATCATTTATAAATATATTAAAAAGCAAGGGTCCCAACACTGAACCTTGGGGTACACCACTGATAACCCTAGACCATTCAGAGTATGAATCATTAACCACTACTCTCTGAATACAATCTTTTAGCCACCTAGATTGTAAGCTCGAAAGAGTAGGGCCCTCTTACCCCTCGTACGTTGTTTGTTGTTGTTGTACTGTGCCATGTATTGTCCCCCCTCTATTGTACAGCGCTGAGCAAATCCTTTGGCGCTATATAAACTCGTAGTAATAATAATAATAGCCAGTTTTCTATCCATTTACATACAGATTTTTCCAAGCCTGTAGACTTTACCTTACACATTAGCCGTGTGTGGGGAACTGTATCAAACACTTTTGCAATATTCAAGTATATTGTGTCCGCCGCCACCCCTCTGTCCATGTTTTGCTCACCTCCTCATAAAAAGAAATCAGATTTGTTTGACAACTTCTGTCTTTCATAAACCCATGCTGTCTGTTGCTTAAAATATTTTTTTCAAGCAAGAACTCTTCTATGTGGTCTTTTATTAAACTCTCCAGTATCTTCCCAACTATAGAAGTTAAACGATCAGGTCTATAATTACTTGGTAAAGATTTTGACCCCTTTTTAAATATAGGCATCACATTGACCTTACGCCAATTCAGTGGTACTATGCCAGTCATAAAAGAGTCCCTAAAAATGGCTTTGAAGTGACAGAGCTCAATTCTTTAAGGACCTGTGGGTGTATGCCATCTAGTCCAGGTGCTTTATTCACCTTTATTCTGTCTAAATATTTTTAGATGATATCATTTGTGAGCTAGTGTGGATCATCTGGAGCTGTGTCAATACCATGCCCATTATGGACAAGAGCTCCCCCATTCTCCTTTGTATACACAGAGCTGAAGAAGGTATTTATTAAATTTGCCTTCTCTTTGTCCCCAGTCACCCACTCTACATTATTTTGTAAAGGGCACATATGCTGGGACTGGGCCTTCTTACTATTAAAATATTTTTAGAATTTTTTGGTGTTTGTCCTGCTATCTTTTCGCAATCTGTCATTCGGTTTCAATATTTGCGGCCTTTATTTCCTTTTTGCATATTCTGTTATATTCTTTGTAATGTTTAAATGATGATAGCGTTCCTTCATTTTTATATTTAATAAAAGCTCTTTTCTTATTATCTATAGCTTCTTGAACTTTGGCTGTAAGCCACATAGGTTTGATTTTTAGTCTTTTAAACTTGTTGCCCATGGGAATATATTTTGCAGTGTGTTCACATACAGTCTTTTTGAAGAACTTCCATTTTTGTGTTGTGTTCATTGATGCCAATATTCCCTCCCAGTCTAAGTCTTGGAGAGCATCTCTCAGCCTTGGAAAATTAGTACTCTTAAAATTGAGCGTTTTTATTTTTTCCAGTATGTGATTGCTGTTTACAGCTACAATAAATGAAAATCATGTTATGGTCACTGCTACCCAGATGTTCTTTTATATGGACATTCGTAATAAGCTGTGCATGGTTTGAGATTACCAGGTCTAGCAGAGCATCATTCCTAGTTGGGGCCTCTATAAAATTGTCCTGTAGTAGGTTTAAAAATGTTTTCCCTTTAACTGTTTCTGCAGTACCATTACTCCAGCCAATTTCCAGATAATTAAAATCCCCCATTATTATCACTATCCCAGCCCTTGCAGCCCTTTCGATCTGTGCAAGGAGCTGAGTCTCCACCTCCTCATTAACACTGGGAGATCTATAACAAACTCCAATGATTACCTTTGTAGTACGCACCCCCATGTGCAGTTCCACCCATAATACTTCAGCCTCATCACACTCTCTATCAACTAAGTCCTCTTTCACACTTGCTCTGAGATCACTTCTCACATAGAGAAAGACACCACCACCTTTCCTATTTACCCTGTCTATCCGAAAGAGAACGTAGCCAGGAATATTAATGGCCCAGTCATGTGAAGTAGGAAGCCAAGATTCAACAATACCAATTAAATCATAGTCCTCTTCATGAACCAAAGCTTCCAACTCACCTATTTTGCTTGGCAGACTTCTGGCATTGGTGAACAAACAATTTAATTCATTGACACCTTGTTCACAATTATTTTGCATAATTTTTATTTTCATACAAATGGTACCAATTCCACTGGTTGTTTGTAACATGGGAACCTTCTTATCATCTGTGATAGCCTTCCCCTCATCTTTCCCCATTCCACCCACCAATAAGTACTGACCCTTGTCTGATCTGTCTACTCCGTTATAATCTAATTCTCCCTCCCCCCTTGATCCTAGTTTAAATGCTCCTCCAGCCTCCTCATAAGCCTCTCCCCCAGCACAGCAGACCCCCTTCCATTTAGGTACAAACCATCTATAGCCTATAAACTGCATCCCAATGAAAAGTCAGCCCAGTGTTCTAGAAACCCAAATCCTTCCCTCTTACACCAGGTCTTTAGCCATGAATTGAGTTCTCTAATCTCCCCCTGTGTTTCTTGAGTTGCGAAAGGCACAGGTAATATTTCAGAGAATATCACCTTTGAGGTACTTCCCTTCAACTTGCAGCCTAGTTCTTTAACCACTAGCCTACAGGGCACTTATACCCCCTTGCTGCCCCGGCCAATTTCTAGCTTTTAGCGCTGTCACACTTTGAATGACAATTGCGCGGTCATGCAACACTGTACCCATATGAACTTTTTATAATTTTTTTGTGACAGAGCTTTATTTTGGTGGTATTTAATCACCTCTGGGTTTTTTATTTTTTCTTAAACAAACCAAAAAACACTGAAAATTTTGAAAAAAAAAAGTTTTTTCTTAGTTTTTGTTTTAAAATTTTGTAAATAAGTGATTTTTCTCCTTCACTGATGTGCGCTAATGAGGCTGCAGTGATGGGCACTGATAGGCTGCACTGATGGACACTGATAGGTGCCACTGATGAGGAGGCACTGGTAGGTGCCACTGATGAGCATTGACAGGCATCACTGATGGGCACTGAAAGGCAGCACTCATATATGGCACTGATAGGCGGCACTGACTGACACTGTTAGGTGGCACTGGCTGGCACTGTTAGGCTGGCACTGATAGGCAGCACTGATGGGCGGCACTGATGCACACTGATAGGCGACGCTGACTTGCACTGATAGGCGGCACTGACTGGCACTGATAGGTGGCACTGATTGGCAGCACTGATAGGTGGCACTGACTGGCATTGATAGGTGGCACTGAAAGGCAGCTCAGATGGGCACTGATATGTGGCACTGATGTGGCACTGATGGGCACGGGAAGGTGGCATGGATGAGCACTGAGAGCTGGCACTGATGGACACTGACAGGCTGTGCTGCTGGGGCTACACAGATCATCAGGGCACACTGATCATCAGTGCTCTGATGATCTGTGTACATGTCCCCTCTGAGGAATGCTGATTACCAGCTCTCCTCTCCTCTCGAGCTGTCAGAGTGACAGCTCGTGGGGAGAGAAATGCCGATAACCGGCATTTCCCTGTTTACATGTGATCAGCTGTGATTGGACACAGCTGATCACATGACTGAACTCTTTCCGTGGATCGGTGATCCGCTGTGTCAGAGGGACACAGCGCACCGAGACACAGTAGTGGGAGCCACTGACTCCTGCTGCTGTCAATCACAGCCAGTGGGAAGGAAGTGGGTGGCGGTGGCCGAGCTGTGCTCTTAGTGTCTCATAGACACACAGAGGCGGCTTGGGCGGCTTGGGAGCAAGCAAGCACAAGTGCCCCCAGAACAAGCAGCTTACTCTGGGGCATTCAGCAGGAGGGAAGAGCCAGTAGTACCAGTAGGGGACCCGAGAAGAGGAGGATCAGGGCTGCTCTGTGCAAAACCATTGCATAGAGCATTTAAGTATAACATGTTTGTTATTTAAAAAAAAAATAAACCTTTAATATCACTTTAATGATAATTCAAAAACCAAGATCTGTGCTGCAAAGCGGTAAGCAGAAGATTATATTTGATAATTACCCTGAGCAGCAAAAAAATCTGTATAAAAGATCATACTAATTTTCACTAAAATAAAAACATAAAAAGAGAACAAGAATCTGAGGACAAATGAAATCTCTTCTCCTTCAACAATACGGGTTGGCCTTTGAGTCACACACAGTGGTGTTAGAGCGGAGTGAAATTTAGCTTTTCTACTGGCTCTCTGTTCCATCTTATTTTGACCTTTTAGAGCTCACATCAAAGTATGTCATTGACTAGTGTAGCGGAGAAAATGAATCCTATTTGTGACTGCTGTAACCTGCTGACTTGCATCTCCTCTGAACCCTGACACTTGCACAGTGAGGGATTTCAGCCCCTCCGTTCTCCTCTCAGACTGTAATAGAGAGAGAGAGACAATCAAAAGAGCCATTAAAGGAGCCAATGACAGGGACTTTCTCAAGCAGGAGGTGCAGCTGCAAAGCATTGTGGAATATGTAGTCCTGAACAGAAATGGCCTGATAGGCTTATACAGAAATAGAACTGCAAAGACCAGCATGCTTAGTTAGAGCAGAGTGAAGAACTCAATCTTGTTTTTCCTGAGGGAAGGCAGTCTGCATGTGGCAAGGTAACAGTTTGGACCTAGCAGAGAAGTGCTTAGGGTCAGTTCACAGCATGTTGAGTTATCTGTATCAGTCAGGGGAAACTGATCCAAACTGAGAGATGTGGACCTACAATGCAGAAGCACTCATCATGAGGTGACCAGAGGAGCCTGTCATTTCCAGGACGATCATTTGGGCCTTAGTCACAGGATCTGGTGAAAGGGATTTTGCCCACTGGCAGATGACAAGAACGCTGCACACAGACAGATACATTACACTCCGCCCATACTCACCAGGCACTGGGTTGTGTAGATGGCCCTGCTAAACACACAGTATTTGCTATGCTATACAAATACTGCCACAGGATTACAATTCTACTTTACCATAGAAGTTTAAGTGCACCAACGAAAGTGGCTAGCTGAAGATCCCAAGATTCATCCTGTTACCAAGAGACTGAAGTTACTGGTGCCATATGGGCGCACTCATGCGTATTCAGGCCTCTATATTGCATGGTGTGTGAGGGAATAGCTTTACTTTGGAAAGTAGCTATTAAGCATCAGTTGGGTACAGTGTTTGCATATTGGACCTGTGGTGTCGGGGTTAGAAGGTTGAAGTCTGACACAACAGAGAGTCATTCTTCTGCTCTCCTCCTGTTTGGACATCATGGAGCCAAATGTATGTAAAGGGGTTTAGACCCACTTTGAGGTTGCCATTTAAGTGTTTGCCTCTACACTTGAGGTTATTCACAGTTGGAATCCCCTGAAAGCAGCCTCAGTGTAAAAGTGAGCTACAGTGGGGATCGAAAGTTTGGGCACCCCAGCTAAAAATTTGTATTAATGTGCATAAAAAAGCCAAGGAAAGATGGAAAAATCTCCAAAAGGCATCAAATTACAGATTAGACATTCTTATAATATGTCAACAAAAGTTAGATTTTATTTCCATCATTTACACTTTCAAAATAACAGAAAACAAAAAATGGCATCTGCAAAAGTTTGGGCACCCTGCAGAATTTATAGCATGCACTGCCGCCTTTGCAAAGCTGAGACCTGCCAGTGTCATGGATTGTTCTCAATCATCGTCTGGGAAGACCAGGTTATGTCAATCTCAAAGGTTTTAAATGCCCAGACTCATCTGACCTTGCCCCAACAATCAGCACCATGGGTTCTTCTAAGCAGTTGTCTAGAAAACTGAAACTGAAAATAGTTGACGCTCACAAAGCTGGAGAAGGCTATAAGAAGATAGCAAAGCGTTTTCAGATGTCAGTATCCTCTGTTCGGAATTAAGAAATGGCAGTCATCAGGAACAGTGGAAGTTAAAGCAAGATCTGGAAGACCAAGAAAAATATCAGACAGAACAGCTCGCAGGATTGTGAGAAAAACAATTTAAAACCCACGTTTGACTGCACGATCCCTCCAGAAAGATCTGGCAGACACTGGAGTTGTGGTACACTATTCCACTATAAAGAGATACTTGTACAAATATGGTCTTCATGGAAGAGTCATCAGAAGAAAACCTCTTCTACGTCCTCACCACAAAAATCATCGTTTGAACTTTGCAAATGAACATATAGAGAAGCCTGATGCATTTTGGAAACAAGTTCTGTGGACCGATGAGGTTAAAATTTAACTTTTTGGCTAGAATGAGCAAAGGTACGTTTGGAGAAGAAGGGGCACAGAATTTAATGAAAAGAACCTCTGTCCAACTGTTAAGCATGGGGTTGGATCAATCATACTTTGGGGTTGTGTTGCAGCCAGTGGCACAGGGAACATCTCACGAGTAGAAGGAAAAATGGATTCAATAAAATTTCAGCAAATTTTGGATGGTAACTTGATTCCATCTGTGAAAAAGGTGAAGTTAAAGAGAGGATGTCTTCTACAAATGGATAATGATCCTAAACACACCTCGAAATCCACGGGGCATTACATCAAGAGGCGTAAACTGAAGGTTTTGCCATGGCCTTCACAATCTCCTGACCTCAACATAACTGAAAATCTATGGATAGACCTTATAAGAGCAGTGCGTGACAGACAGCCCAGAAATCTCAAAGAACTGGAAGACTTTTGTAAGGAAGAATGGGCAAAGATACCTCAAACAAGAATTGAAAGACTGTTGGCTGGCTACAAAAAGCGTTTACAAGCTGTGATACTTGCCAAAGGGGGCAGTACAAGATATTAACTCTGCAGGGTGCCCAAACTTTTGCAGATGCCATTTTATTTTTTTCTGTTATTTTGAAAGTGTAAATGATGGAAATAAAATCTAACTTTTGTTGACATATTATAAGAATGTCTAATCTGTAATTTGATGCCTTTTGGAGATTTTTCCATCTTTCCTTGGCTTCTTTATGCACATTAATACAAATTTTTAGCTGGGGTGCCCAAATTTTTGATCCCCACTGTATATTGCTTTCGGTCACAGTATTTGCTGTTCTCTTGATTCACCTAACGTATACCTGTTGTTACTGTTTATTACTTCCCATAGAGGTCTTACAGTAAAGCTGATCTCTGTGTTTTATTATAAAGTGTGTGCTTTTCATTGGTCCTTGCAGTTACACTATTGCCAGGTGTGTCAGTTGGGGCTGAGACAGTTCTTGGGGTTGAGAGGCAGAGTGGCGGAGTGAATAAACTTAGGCAGCGCCTTCGGGGGTATCGCTAGACTAGTACTAGACATAAGCTTGCTTTTTGTCTAACTGCTTTTCTACCTTAGTGCTGATTCGTGCTAATTCGTGAAAGGTAAATAGGGCCAATTCACTTAGCTAAGTTGTAATAACTGTGCTCATTATTTTATCTTACAACAATTTTTCATCAAAATGTTAAATACACAAACATTAATATTGTGTTGGTTAATATCGACTAACTTAAAGTGTTACTAAACCCAAGACCCTGCATTCACTATATCTGGTCTCCCACAGTACACACAATGGAATTGCAATTATTTTAGTAATTATAAATGCCTTTTCTCATCAGCAGTTAGAGCAGTCTTGTGACTTCTATCAGTGTTCAGCAGAGCACTGGTTAAAGCTTATAGGAGAAGTTTTCTCTAAGAGGATGCAGAACCCCCTGACCTCTGTCTGGACAGTTCTGATTGGCCCCTTGCTGATCACATGCACTCTCCCAAGAAGAAAAAAAAAAACCTCTCTAGCAATACACACCAAATTGAGCATGTGCACTGTCACCACACAATATGTCATCTGGAGATAAGAGGGGGACACTGGAAGAAGGGGAGGATCAGAGAAGTCAGGATCAAACAGCATTTTTACTCAATGCAGAGGTTTAACCCCTTAGGTTCAACAAGTATAACAAACATGCTTTACTGCATATACAGACTGATTTTACTATTGTGGGTTTACTACCACTTTATGTACGTGAATCTGGTTTAATATCATGTTTTGGAATGAGAGAGAAACAGCACTAGGTGTACTGCCTTGTAAGTATGTTAACAGAGAAGAGTCTCACAAGAGCAGACAGTGGAGAGAGCAGAGGAGTGAACTTGTCACTCTGCTGCTGATTATTCACAGCCTAATAGCAGGCTGAGGAAGGAAGGTCACCACATTGGGGTTGATTTACTAAAACTGGAGAGTGCAAAGTCTGGTACAGCTGTGCATTGCAGCCAATCAGCTTCTTCAATTAAGCATGTTCAATTAGCCCTGCTTCACATATATGTGGCCGCGCAGGCCGCGTTTTACGCGGGCACGAGAGCCCATTCATTTGAATGGACTCTCGTGCCCCGCGACACGCAGGGAAGAGGTCCCCGGACTTCTTTGAAAACCGCAGCCCGCACGGGAACCTCAGTTTCCAGTGCGGGCGGCGTGCCATTAGAACTAATGATACCCGCCCGAGGGTCTGCATTCTTCTGTGCAGGTGCTGTGGCTGCATGGATTTTTGTGTGGATCCGCAGCCGCACCACCCACACATATGTGAACCAAGCCTTAAACTCAGCTTGTTCAGTTTAGCTTTGACAAAAAAACTGGAAGCTGACTGGTTTCTATGCAAAGCTGCACCACATCTTGCACTCTCCAGTTTAGTAAATCAACCCCATTGCATTACTTAAAGTGTTACTAAACCCAGGACACACACATTCACAAATGTAATATGCAGGCAACAAAT